CTCCTCCTCCTCCTCCTCCTCCTCCTCCTCCAATTAATATAGACCTGTAGCTATCGATCAGGGAGTGATTCAGCCATGGGCCCTGACTTAACAGAGGAAGCCCGGAGATCTTTAGATTGTGACAAAACCCAGAACGTTCTGGAGCCAAGCTGGGGAGACGTATTTACAAAACCATCTCTTTCTTCCAGCTGATGCCTGAGAGTCAGTCACCTTCCCCTGTTTTGCACCATTTCGGCGATGTCTCTCGTTTGCATCTTCTGATAAAGTTTTTGTTCTCCCCCCCCCCCCCCCGGCCTCTTTTTCCAACAGCTGGGCGATCCGTCGATCTTTCCCGCCGTCATCGTGGAGCACGTGCCGAGCGCCGATCTGCTGAACAACTACTCGGGCTTATCGTGCGTGACGGAGCCGAGCGACATGATCACGGAGAATTCGCTGGACGTGGCGGAGGAAGAAATTATAGATGATGATGATGATATTACCCTTACAGGTGGGTAAAGTCTTTTTATTTTTATTTTTTTTTAAATTTCTTCATTCTTGGGGGGAAGACACCCTGGGTGTAATTTGCCTCCTTAGCCAAGTTGTGGTTGACTCGCTTTGATTGTCGTGTTTATTTGGGGGAGTTTCGCTCCCTGAAACGGATGACGTCAAACAGGTGCTTCTGTTCCACGTGGTTCGTTCCTCTCCTGCCCCAGCCAGGACCTCATTTTGTCTCTCTTGTCTTGTAGTAAGTTGTGGGTGTACGAGGTTGTGGGATTTCCTGACAGTGAGGAAGATGAATCAGCCTCCAGAAGTTGTGGGTGCTCCAACACTGGAGGTTTTTAAGAAGAGACTGGACAGGCATTTGTCTGAAATGGTGTAGGGTCTCCTGCCGGAGCAGGGGGTTGGACTAGAAGACCTCCAAGGTCCCTTCCAATTCTGAGGCAGGAAAAAAAGATTGATGACCATTTTCCACACACTTTCGAGGGTCAGAGCCCTCGATCTTCCCAGGCATTTGGGTCTGCTCATAAACTGGTTATATGACCCCTCTGCTTTTTTCCCCTTTGTGTTAGGTTGTGCTGCCGTTGTTCTCTTGGAGTAGTTTTTTTTAATAAATTGGAAGCTATTAAAAGTTTGAAAATAAATCAACTGAATTACTAGTATCTTATCAATATCCTTTTGTGACACTTGTATCTTAGTTTTCATTGTTGTTTTTTGCTCTTTGCCAAGAAAAAGAAGGAAAGGGAGGGAGGGAGGGAGGGAGGATGGAAGGAAGGAAGGAAGGAAGGAATGAAGGGTGGAAGGAGGGAGGGAGGGAGGGAAGGAAGGAAGGAAGGATGGAAGGAGGGAGGGAAGGAAGGAAGGAAGGAAGGAAGGAAGGAAGGAAGGAAGGAAGGAAGGTCTGAACAATATCCTGATAGCATTGAAGTGAGCCCACCAGATAATTGGCTGAAATGTGCAGTACAGCTACTCCTCCACAACCGAGCCTCGAATTTTCGTTGCTAAGTGAGACATATGTTAAGTGAGGTTTGCCCCATTTTACGACCCTTCTTGCCTCAGTTGTTCAGCGAATCACCGCAGTGAGTGACACGGTCGTTCAGCAAAGCTGTCTTCCGCCATTGACTTTGCTTGTCAGAAGGTCGCAAAAGGGGGGGATCACGTGACACACACACACACACCCCGGGACACTGCATCCGTCTTCTTAAAAGCCTCCAGAGATGGAGCACCCACGATTTCTGGAGGCAGGTTGTTCCACTGGTTAATTGTCCTCACTGGAAGTTTCTCCTTAATTCCAGGTTGCTTCTCTCTTTGGTCAGTTTCCAACCATTGTTTTTTGTCCTTCCCTCTGGTGCTTTGGAAAATAAATTGACCCCCTCCTCTTCTTTGTGGCAGCCCCTCAGATACTGGAACGCTGCTATCATGTCATCCCTATTTCTTCTTTTTTTAGACTATCCAAACCCAAGTCCCGTAGCCATTCTTCATATGTTTTAGCCTCCAGGCCTTTGATCATCTCAGTTGTTTTTCTCTGGACTTTTCCCAAACTCTCAACATCTTTTTTTGTGATACGGTGACCAAAATTGGCTGCGGTATTCCAGGTGTGGCCTTACTAAAACCCTAGTAAGAGAACTAGATAAACCTCCAAGTGGCCTCAACGACTCTCAGAGAGAGCACTAACGACCAGATGACTGCAAGGCATAGACATCCTTCCATTCTCCACTGTTCAGCTAGAACCAAAGAAGCTTCTTGGATGAGAAACGAAAAGCTCTTCGAGGATAAACCAAGAAAGTCCAGTTGCCTCTGGAAGAAAAGCACTTTGGGGACAAACAACCCATGGCCTGGATGACTGAGAATCTCCCTAGACCAGGAGTAGGCAACCTTGGCTCTTTTATGACTCGTGGACTTCAACTCCCAGAATCTCTGGCTCAGCTTGGAGACCTCTTCCCTTCCCCTCAGCATGACTGGCTCAGGAATTCTGGGAGTTGAAGTCCACGACTCATAAAAGAGCCAAGGTTGCCTACCCCTGAACTAGGATAACTCTCCAGGGCACAATTCAACGCTGTATTAAACATTGAATTCAGTTACTTTTATTATTGGTCACCCCGTTTTCTTCAAAATTATTGTTACTCTTGTATTTCTGGGGTCCGTTGAAATCAGTCTAAGCGGTCTTCCAAGGTAGAACACATTGTAGTAGCCCAGGGGTCTTCCAACCTGGCCCTTTGATGACTTGTGGACTTCAACTCCCAGAATTCTTCAACTCCCAGAATTCCTTAGCCAGCCTCCATTTTGTTTGTTAGATTTAAGATGGGGGTCTTCAAACTTGGCCCTTTGATGACTTGTGGACGTCAACTCCCAGAATTCCTCAGCCAGCCTCCATTTTGTTGGTTAGATTTAAGCCAGGGGTCTTCAAACTTGGCCCTTGATGACTTGTGGACTTCAACTCCCAGAATTCCTGAGCCCACCTCCATTTTGTTTGTTAGATTTAAGACAGGGGTCTTCAAACTTGGCCCTTTGATGACTTGTGGACTTCAACTCCCAGAATTCCTTGGCCCGCCTCCATTTTGTTTGTTAGATTTAAGACGGGGGTCTTCAAACTTGGCCTTTTGATGACTTGTGGACTTCAACTCCCAGAATTCCTTAGCCAGCCTCCATTTTGTTTGTTAGATTTAAGATGGGGGTCTTCAAACTTGGCCTTTTGATGACTTGTGGACTTCAACTCCCAGAATTCCTCAGCCAGCCATGCTGAGGAGAAATGGAGAGGTTTCCAAGCTGAGCCGTGCTGGCTCAGGAATTCTCAGAGTAAAAGTCCACGAGTCATGAGGGGGCCTTAGCTCCCCCTTGATGGCTCAGGAATTCTGGGAGTTGAAATCCACGAGTCATGAGGGGGCCATAGTTCCCCCATGCTGGTTGAGGAATTCTGGGAGTTGAAGTCCACAAGTCATGAAGGGGCCATAGTTCCCCCCTGCTGACTCAGGAATTCTGGGAGTTGAAGTCCACGAGTCATGAGGGGGCCATAGTTTCCCCATGCTGGCTCAGGAATTCTGGGAGTTGAAGTCCACGAGTCATGAGGGGGCCATAGTTCCCCCATGCTGGCTCAGGAATTCTGGGAGTTGAAGTCCATGAGTCATAAAAGAGCCAAGGTTGCCTACCCCTGGACTAGACAACTGAAAAGATGTTTTGATTGACCCCTCGGTTAATATCTGTTAATATTCCCCCCCCCCCCAAATTTTTTAGTTGAAGCATCCTGCCACAATGGAGACGAGACAATGCAAACCATCGAAGCGGCCGAGGCCCTTCTCAACATGGATTCCCCAGGCCCCATGTTGGACGGAAAAAGATCAAGTAAGTCTCAAGAGGGATAGCAACTCAGCCAGGAGGAAAAAATAAAAAAATAAAAAAAAGAAATTCTGCCTGCTTCTGCAAAAGCTCTGTTGAGCGAAGATATTGCAAAATAAGAAGAAAAAACAAAAGGATGCTTTACTTTTTGAGCAGGTTCTCTGGATAGGCTTAGAATGGGATTTTAGTAAAATCCATTTATTGCTAATTTTCCAGTTTTCTAAGTATATCCTTTTCCGCGGCGTCATCTGGGGAAGAAAGAGCGAGATTAAGCTCTTAATCTGTCCGCCTGGCTGTTTTCTTTTTTTTTGTTTTTGTTTTCCTCCTCTGAAATTATATTAATTACATTTCTTCAGCTTGAATTCCCGTTGAAATTCATGAAATGTGAAAACGTTCTTGGGTTGGCTGGAGCGTGCTCAAATATTTTTAACATCCATAAAATGCTCTTTCCCTCCTCCCACCCCCTTTTTCCCCCTTTTGCATTCACAGTACGATTACCCGTCCAAATTATTCCTGATTTGTTGATCTTTATTTTGTTCCAGTCCGCACACATTCACACGCATCCGTCATTTCAGCCGTGATGGATTGGGGGGGGAATTATACGGCTTTTGAGTTCAGCCATTTGTTCTGTTTGTACTGCCAGCCAGACTATCCACGTGGAATTATATTTATTTCCTCTTTTACAGCAAAGCAGCGACGAGTTAAAAAAAAAATAACTTACCCAAAGTGACTTTTCAACAAAGACTCAGAAAAACCAAGTATTGCGTGTAGGGCTACGATGGGGGAAATTTAAATTCAATTCCCCTCCTGGCCACGGAGTCCCCTTAGCAATTTTGTCCCGTCGTGGTCTTTTTAGTCTGTCTGCCCTCAGAGGGAATTATTATTTCTTGGGATAAACGGATCCTTTGAATCTCCCAAGGGAAAATGTGAGATATACTATATACTAAATATAGTACAGCTTAAGTCCTCGGCTTACAACAGGTCATTTGGTGACCGTTCAAAGTTGTAACGGCACTGAAAAAAGGGACTTAATGAGTATTTTTCACATTTACGACCGTTGCAGCATCCCCACGTCATGTGATCAAAATTCAGAAGCTTGGCAACTGACATGTACTTATGACTGTTGCAGTCTCCCGGGGTCACGTGATCCCCCTTTTGCAACCTTTCGACAAGCAAATGGGGGAAGGCAGATTCACTTAACCGTGTTACTAACTTTACCAACTGCAGTGATTCACTTAACAACCTTGTTAGTAACTTACCAATTGCAGTGATTTACTTAACAGCTGTTTGCAGGCCCGGCTGTACAATGGGGCAAAACTCACTTAATAAATGTCACACTTAACAACAGAAGTTTTGGGCTCAGTTGTGGTCGTAAGGCAAGGACCACCTATATGTATTTTGACTTCTTTTTATTAGTCAGAATAAAACAATTTACATTCACCGCCTCTGGTTTGGGAGACTTTTCCCGCGGAGAATCCCGCCACTCGGATTGTTACGACCTCTAGTACAGTCTTTACGAATGTTCAGTGACTGTTCTGTTGTTGTTTTTCGGAAGCGCACGTCTTCGAAGCCGAGGATGATATGGAAGTTGCTCCGATTACTCACGTGTCGGTCACTCTCGATGGCATCCCGGAAGTAGTAGAGGTTCATCAGTTCCAAGAGGCGTTTTCCGAATCGCCCAGCACGCCGGAGCAGCCAAAGAAGAGAAGAGGTAAAGAAGTAGAAAGTCCTCAAGAGCGACCTAGAGTTATTCTACTTTACGTTCAAGCGTTAAGTACACGTAGCAGCCCTGGTGGCGCAGTGGTTAGAAGGCAACATTGCAGGCTGACACTGCCCACAGCCAGGACGTTCGATCTTGACCGGCTCAAGGTTGACTCGGCCTTCTGTCCTTCCCAGGTCAATAAAATGAGGACCCCCAGATTGTTGGGGGCAACATGCTAACTCTGTAAACTGCTTAGAGAGGGCTGTAGAGCACTGTAAAGCGGTATATAAGTCTAAGTGCTAATGCCATTGCTATAAAAAACATTCCCACTGCCAGGAGTTCGATCCTATCCTGACCGGCTCAAGCTTGACTCAGCCTTCTGTCCTTCCCAGGTCGGTAAAACGAGGACCCAAAACGTTGGGGGCAACAGGCTGACTCTATAAAGTCCACAAGTCACCAAAGGGCCAAGTTTGAAGACCCCCTGGCCTAAAGTAATATGGACAATGGCGACGATTAGCATTTTTACTCCTGTTTTTTTTTTTATAAAAAGAGATTTTATTAAAAAAATAAAAATTAAAAAAAATAACAGTTTTGCTGTAAACTTGGAGACTTGAAATGCCGGCGTACGGGATTTTGAACGCGCCCTGCAGTTTGGGGACTGAAAATTTGGTAGAAAGAATGACTTGAATGGGTTAAATGTCTTCTTCTTCTCCTTAGTTCCTCTTAGGAGATTTTTCTGCTTTCTTTGCAGGGAAGAAACCCAAAGTCCCTCGGCCAGAATCGCCCAGCCTGACTCCAAATATATCCGTGAAAAAGAAAAACAAAGACGGGAAGGGTAAGCACAAAACAGCCCGAGTCGGAGAGTTTTGGAAAATACCGGAACGTGTTTGGTTAAATTCTGGGTGCAGTAGGAGTCGAGCACTCCGAGGAAGATAAATGGCTTGTCCTTCTTTGTTATTGATTCATGGTCCTTATGTGTTTATTATTTTATTTATTTATGGTCCTGATGTATTTATTTACTCCAGTGACAGGGGCTGGAAATAAATCCAGCAAAGTTTCATAAGAAGTCCACCGTAGTGATCATGATAAATGAAGTGGGAGATACCCCTGTTTAATTCCTTGGCCACCCCTTCCCCTCCCTTCTCTTCCCTCCCCTTCTCTTCCCTTATTCTCCCCCTTCTCCGTCACTTCCCTTCTCCTTCCTTTCCTTTATCCTTCTCTTCCCTTATTCTCCCCTTCTCTTCCCCTTCCTGTTTCCTTCCCTCCCATTTCCTTCCCTTCTATTTCTCTTCCCTTATTCTCCCCTTCCCTTCCCTTCTCTTCCCTTCTTCTTCCCTTGTACTTCCTTTTCCTTCCCTTCCCTTTCTCTTCTCTTCTCCTTCCCTTCCTTTTCCTTCTCCTTCCCTTCTCCTTCTCTTCCCTTATGCTCTCCTCCTTCCCTTCCCTTCTTCCTTTCTCCTTTCCTTCCCTTATTCTCCCCTTCCTTCCTTCCCTTTCTCTTCTCTTCTCCTTCCCTTCCTTTTCCTTCTTTCCTTCTCCTTCCCTTCCCCTTCTCTTCTCTTCTCCTTCCCCTCCCTTTCCTTCTTTCCTTCCGTTCTTCTCTTCTCTTCCCTTCTCCTTCTCTTCTCCTTCCCTTTCCTTCTTTCTTTCCCTTCTTCTTCTTTTCTCCTTCCCTTCCCTTCTCCTTTCCTTCCTTCTCCTTTCCTTCCTTCTCCTTCCCTTCCCTTATTCTCCTCTTCCCCTTCTCCTTCTCTTCCCTTCTACTTCCTTTCCCTTCCCTTCTCCTTCCCTTCCCTTCTTTCCCTTTCTCCTTCTCTTCTCCTTCCCTTCCCTTTCCTTCTTTCCTTCCCTCCTTCTTCTCTTCCCTTCTTCTTCTTTTCTCCTTCCCCTCCCTTCCTTCTCCTTCCCTTCCCTTTCCTTCCCTTCTTCTTCTCTTCCCTTCTTCTTTTCTCCTTCCCTTCTCCTTCCCTTCCTTCTCCTTCTCTTCCCTTCTTCTTCTCTTCTCCTTCCCTTCTCCTTCATCGAAAGAACTCGGCCTGCCAACTCTACCGGTTGGCCAGGCAGACCCTACAGCAGGCAGAGGGCCCTCCAGTCGCCAGGCCCCGTGGCCCCGGGAGGCTTTACGGCACGCTGACTCACACCTGGGAGTCAACTGGCCACCGGGCGCAGTTCACGAGACAGGGAGATCGCGCGGGCGTAGGAAGGCCTGCCCGTCCCTCTTTGCCCATCGCTCCCCCGAGGACGTCACACAACCCCAACCAATTTGCCGTTGCCTTGTTCTTGTTTCAGGGAACACCATTTATCTCTGGGAATTCCTGCTGGCCCTGCTCCAGGACAAAGCCACCTGCCCCAGGTACATCAAGTGGACCCAGAGGGAAAAGGGCATCTTCAAATTAGTCGATTCCAAGGCGGTGTCCAGGTTGTGGGGGAAGCACAAAAACAAACCGGACATGAACTACGAGACGATGGGCAGAGCGCTCAGGTAGGTGAACGCTGGGGGTGGGGAGGGAGCTCCCCTTCCCTTCCAGGCCGAAGGGGCCCTGGAGAGCCTTTGGGCCCAGGTCCTGGCCTCTTCTAGCGCCCAACCACCCTCCACGTTTTGAACCAGCCGTAAAAGCAAACAATTGGACAGCATCGAACAGGCGACATTTGCAACGTAAGAAGTGCTGCTGCAAATACAAAAACCGAATTGTGGGGGGAAAAATTGGAAAGATAAATGGTTATTCGATACAGGTAACCCCACAACTGAACCTAAAACGTCTGTTGCTAAACGAGACGGTTGTTAAGTGAGTTTTAACGTCATAGAGAAGCTACTGTTCTTCTCTTTGTCCTCCCCCTCCTTCTCCTTCTTCCGTTTCTCCTTCTTTTGCTTCTGCTTCTTCTCCTTCTCTTTCTTCCACTCCTTCTCCTCCTGTTTCTCCTTCTGCTTCTTCTCCTTCTTCTGCTTCTCCTGCTCCCCCTTTTCCTCTCCCTCCTATCCTTCTTCTTCCACTTCTCCTTTTTGCTTCTGCTTCTGCTTCTCCTTCTCTTTCTTCCACTCCTTCTCTTTTCCCTCTTCCTCCTTCTGTTTCTCCTTCTTCCGTTTCTCCTCCTTTTTTCTCCCTCTCCTCCTTCTTCTTCCACTACTCCGTTTGCTTCTGCTTCTCCTTCTCTTTCTTCCACTCCTTCTCTTTTCCCTCTTCCTCCTTCTGTTTCTCCTTCTTCCGTTTCTCCTCCTTTTTTCTCCCTCTCATCCTTCTTCTTCCACTTCTCCGTTTGCTTCTGCTTCTCTTTCTCTTTCTTCTCCTTCTCCTGTCCCTCTTTCTTCTCCTTGTTTCTCCTTCTTCATCTTCCATTTCTCCTTCTCCTGCTTCTCCTCCTTTTCCTCTCCTTTCCATCCTTCTTCCACTTCTCCGTTTGCTTCTGCTTCTCTTTCTCCCACTTCTTCTCCTCTCCCTCTTCGTCGTGCTTCTTGTTTCTCCTTCTTCCGCTTCTCCTCCCCCTCCTTTTCCTCTCCCTCCCATCCTTCTTTCACTTCTCCTTTTGCTTCTGCTTTTCCTTCTCTTTCTTCCATCTCCTCCTCCTCTCCCTCCTCCTCCTTCTGCTTCTTTTCCTTTTTCCGCTTCTCCTCCTCCTCCTTTTCCTCTCATCCTTCTTCTCCTTTTTCCATTTCTTCTCCTTCTGCTTCTCCTCCTCCTTTTTCTTCTTCCGATTCTTCTCTCCTTTTCCTTCTCCTTCATCTTCCACCTCTTCTCCTTCTCTTTCTTCCACTCCTTCTCTTTCTTCCGCCTTTTCTCCTTCTCTTCCTCCTCCTCCTCCTTCTCCTCCTCCTCCTCCTTCTCCTCCTTCTCCTCCACAGAAGCTTCAACTGGAGAAAAGACCCTTCTCTAGTTGAAGGAAGCTACCTAATACCACCCATTGTCACTGACTCTGATGAGATATTTCAGAACGTGCAGGTCGTCCTACTTAAAAAGTTTTCAATACTGGTCAAATACCGGTTGGAAACAGCTGCATGTTCTGAAAAAGAAAACATTTCGCTTAGTGATTATTATTTTTTTAATTCGCCTTTTCAGTGGATTTCTTTTGCCTTTAAGCTTAACCCTGGGCGTGGCTCCCCTTGCTCCCACAGATACTATTACCAAAGAGGCATTCTAGCCAAAGTGGAGGGCCAGCGCCTGGTCTACCAGTTCAAGGAGATGCCGAAAGACATCATCTACATTGACGACGTGGACCCCAATTCCAGCATGGACACTCCCGATTCGACGCTCCTCTCCACCCCCGGGGCCAACCGAAGCCAAGCGGGCAAGTCCAAGGCTTCTTCCAACCCAGGCGCCAAAGGAAGCGGATCGGCGGCCCTTTTAAAGTTGCCCGTCAACGCCAAGCCGGCCAAACTGAAGCATCCCTTGGAGACTGTACCGCAGCCCCTGCCTCCCATGAGCCCCGAAGTGTTGAGGACGATGCAGTCGGCCCAGCCAGCCCATCCCACTCAGCTTTATCGGACAGTCCACTTAATGCCGTCTGTGCAGCCCATCCAGGAAGGGCAGGCGGCCGTAAGCGGTAACATGCTGGACGAATCCCTGAATCCTTCGGTTCCGAACATCAGGTGAGGACCTCGGAGCGAATCTTCACTGTGGCCTGGCTGCCCAGACCCCGGGTGCTCTTTTCCCTCGCCTGGGAAGCCTCTGAGGGTTACAATAATAATAACAACAACGATAATAACGATAATGATAATAATAAGGATAATAACGATAATGATGACAATAACAATGATGATGATGATGACAATAATAATAACGATAATGATAATGATGACGATAATAATACTAACAATAATACTAATGATAATAATGATATAATAATAATGATATAATAATGATGATGATGACAATAATAATGATGATGAAAATAATAATGATAGATATAATGATGATAATGATGATGACAATAATAACAGTCATGATAATAATGGTAATAACGATGATGACAATAATAACAATAATGATAATGATAATGATGACAATAATCATAACGATAATAACGATGATGATGACAATAATAATAATGAAAGTAATAATGATAATAACGATGATAATAATGATAATGATGACAATACTACTAATAATAATAATGATAATATAATAATAATAATGATAATAATGATGATATAATAATAACGATAATAATAATGATGATAATGATGACAATAATAATAATGATATAATAATAATAATGATGATAATAACGATGATAATAATGGTAATAACGATGATGACGACAATAGCGATGATAATGATAATAATGATAATGACAATAATAACGATAATGATGATGACAATAATAATACTAATAATGAAAGTAATAATGATAATGATAATGATGACAATAATAATTATAATGATAATGATGATGACAATAATGATGATAATAATGGTAATAATAATGATAATGATGACAATAATTATAATAATAACGATGATGATTATAATAATGACAATAATGATGACAATAATAATAACAACAACTCCGGCTTCATTTTAATAATAATAATAAAGTTGGAAGGGACCTTGGAGGTCATCTAGTCCACCCCCCTGCTCAGGCAGGAAACCCCATACCATTTCAGACAAATGTTTGACCAATCTCTTCTTAAAAACTTCCAGTATTGGAGCATTCTGGAGCTGAATCCAACGGAAAATGAAGCTGGAGATTTTTCTAACACTCATTTTTTCCGTTCCTTTTTTTCCTCTTTAATTGTGTTTCCTCTTAAGGATGGAGCTTGCATTAAGTAGAAGACCACTGTTGCAAAATTAAATTGGTCTGATGGGAGAGATCTCTAGGTTTGGCTAATTTTGGCAGGAGAGGATTTATAGAAGCACATATCTGTTATTCTCCTAGCTTGATCTGCAGTTGCCTAGCTGATTAAGAATAAAGAGCAGGAGAGCTGAAGAACAAATGTTTTAATTTGGGGTTATTCACAGGGCTAGGCAACGCATGGTGGATTCCTATTTTTCCAGACATTCTGTATTATGCCAGTAATCTAACCCAAATATTTATTTTTTTTGCATTTAAATATAGCATTATTTTTCATGCTCTTTTTAGAGCAAGGGCATGGAAACTGCAGCCCCGATTCTAATTTTATGCGATCTGCAATGAATGGATCAGACGACAAGGAAAGCATTCTGTGTAATCTCTTTAAAATGATGAACACCATTTTGGCTATAGTTCCAGCTGGGGCCATCCTGCCTTCTTTAAAATATTCTAAAATATCCTCTTTTCAGGAGAAAACGAAAAAGTGTTAGGATTTAGGAAATTATTAAAGGAGTTGAGGACACAAGAGGAAAGAGAGAGAAATAATCCATTGCGAAAAAAAGTTTAGGATGTGGCTGGAACTCTACAGAAGGATTGAGTTTGTTTGGCAGCTCCAGCAGAGAGAGAGACAGCTGTCCTATCCCTTGATTAAAAATTGGTTTACATTTTGAGCTAGAATTCCTCTATCCTACTCGCTTCTCTTGCCTGCGCTTTTGTGCATTCTGGATTTGTCCCAGCTGTTCTTCATCACTGTCCAACTCAGGCTCCCAACACAGCTGTGTCTCAGCCTGAGCGCGAGTAGAGGGGCCAGGCTCCTCGTCCGACTGTAAGCCTCGGAGCTCCTCAGAGCCTTCCTCTTACTCCGATGTCACTCCAGGCCCTTCCTCCTCCTCCTCTTCCTCTGATTCCTCAGACTCAGCTGCCAGGTCCACTGGCTGGTGAGGAATCACAACAACAGGGCAAAAAGAAACACCCACTTGCACCACTCAGGTGAATCCAAGGACACAGGTAAACCTCCAGGTGGCCTCAACGTCTCTTTAAAAGGAGGCAAATGACCAGCTGTCTGCAAGGAGTATAAATCCTTCCATTCCCCCCACCATCCAGTCCGAGCTGAAGAAGCTTCTGGGATGAGAAGCGAAACGTCTTCAGAGAAAAAAAACCAGGAAGCCCTGTTGCCTCCTGAAAAAAAAAGCACCTTTGCGACTTGAGTCGTTAGCTTTCCCCCCATCCCATCCTTCTCCCTGCCTCCCTCATGGCTGATGGCAGACCGGCAGCTAGCAGACGCCAAGAGTAGGCCTAAGGTGGCAGTTCTGACCCGTGCTATTTATCTTTCCTTCAACAGGACCCTCCAAGCCTCAGGCCAGGTCCCCGTGGTGGTTACTCCCGGAAGCCAGCAGCTACACACCGTCACACTCCAGACCGTGCCTTTAACCACTGTGATCGCCAGCGCCGATCCGACGTCTTCGGCCGCGCCCCAGAAGTTCATCCTACAAGCCATCCCCTCTTCGCAGTCCATGACCGTGCTGAAGGAGAACGTCGTGTTGCAGTCGTCCTCCAAGTCGGTCTCTCCTCCTTCGTCCATCGTTCTAAGCCCTGCTCAGGTCCACCAGGTTCTCACCACCAGCAACGTCCAGACAATTTGCAACGGGACGGTCAACGTGGCCTCCTCCCCGTCTTTCAGCACCGCCACCCCCGTAGTAACTTTTACGTCCGGCGGTTCCCACGGCGGTTCCAACGCCATGATCACCTCCGTGATCAAAGCGCCGGAAACGAAAGCCGCCGTTGTTCAAGGGACGGTGAAATCGGAGTGCGAAAACGGCGCGGGATTGGAAGACGACACCCCCTCGGAGGCCAGTTTTCACCAGCCGCCTTTTGTCGTGATGGTGTCGGCTTCCAACGGGTTCCCTCCCACTGTACACATCAAACAGGAAAGCGAACAGTCGCAGCCACTGAGCCCTTACGAGTAACTAAGAAGAGAAATAGAGAGTTTTATGATTGCTCTTCTCCTGAATGTGATGAAAAACGCCTCCACCAATTGTGTATGTAACCTCTGATTCCAAAGCAAGGCATTATAAAGCTACTTTTAATTTCTCGAATTATATTTTAGGAGTTAAGGCTGTAGAGTTTGATTGCCAGTTTGGTTGTTTTCCTCCGCCGTGTAAAAGATGATCTGTTTCAAAAGGCAAAGCATGAAGGAACGTGCAGTTTCTTTTTTTTTTTTTACTTTTCTTTTCTTTTTGATCACTGTCCAAAAATTCGAAATTTCTTAAGACTTTCCTGTATTATTTGTCTGTCTCGCATAATAATGTAATCGATGCTTTCAAGCAATAGCTAATTTCAGGAGGGGTTTTTTTTTTTTTTTTCCATGCCGTTATCTTGATTTTTTTTTTTTTTTTTTTTAGTAAATTCCAAAGATCTGTTTTATTCAATGTACTTAGAATATATTTTGTTTTATATGGATATGAAGCAATGGGTGATCTGATCTTCGTGTGTTCTGTTGCATTTTGCCCCCCCAGTGAGAAGACATTTTGCAAAATAGATGTACTTCCCTTCTATCAATAAGAATATTTACCGCCACTTATGCATTCTAGATATTTTCTATTTTAATAATGACAATATCTTTGATGAACTGGCTCACGAAAGCGGGAGCTATCACTACAGGTGCAATTATTTTTCAGACCATTTAAACCTTGAGGCATAAAGAAACGCGCTGTTGGCTTTTTTCAATTATTTTTATAAGGAAATGAAAAAAATAGAAGTATATGGGACTTAACCCGAGTATTTTGAGATTAAAATATTTCTACAAAGTACCTTTTCTATTGTAAATATGTAATTTAATTTCTCAAAAAGATTTTTTTTTCATAAAAGAAAATATTTCCATAGAACAATATTTTATAGATACAAATAAGATCATTATGTTTAGAGCTCTAAAAGTTATATGTATTCCTGTATTGCAGAGTGAATTTGTATTTAAAAGAAAAAAGATTAAAACGTGGGACCTCTCGGAGACTGTTTCCTCTTTTTTGTATTTTAATTGGTTTATCACGAAAATAAATCAAGTACAACATCCTTGTATGATTTTCTTTCTCTGTCTGAAATCTGACGTTAGACCTGTAATAAAATACAGATTTAAGATACAGAAGTTTTTATTATTTTGGCAAAAAAAGCACCCAAACTCAAAACCCTTTAAGCTATACCCTTGTTGTTTAAAATCAACCTAAGCTAAGAGTCCAGAGTGAGAAATTAAACATAAGGAACGTTAAGAAGCCTAGGAAGCTGGCAGTAATGGTTCAGCAAATAAAATAATTATTGGCTGCGTTCATCTCTGATCGACTTTACATATATTAAAAGCATCTAGCATCACGTTTATAATCCATAATAGGATCAGAAAAGAGGCCAACTGTTTCTGAACTCCCAGGAGCTAAAATATCTTGCAGAACTGTACTCCAGCAAGTCCGATGTCAATAAGTACTGCTCAAGAAGTCTAGTGTCCAAATTGTATGAACCCTAGTATTTCCACCATAAATGAAATTAAACATGTTTTTTTGGCTTACCGAGATATTTGTTCTGCTCCTGGCTTTCTTCTCATGCTTTCTCTACCTGGATGAAATCTATTCTATTCCATATTTTCTATTCTATTCTATTCTATTCTATTCTATTCTATTCTATTCTATTCTATTCTGCATTCTGTTCTGTTCTATTCTGTTTTATTCTATTCTATTCTATATTTTCTGTTCTGTTCCTGCATTCCATTCCATCTATTCTATTCTATTCTATTCTATTCTGCATTATGTTCTGTTCTATTCTATTCTGTTTTATTCTATTCTATTCTATATTTTCTGTTCTGTTCCTGCATTTCATTCTATATATTCTATTCTATTCTATTCTGCATTCTATTCTATTCTATATTTTCTGTTCTGTTCCTGCATTCCATTCCATTCCATTCCATCTATTCTATTCTATTCTATTCTATTCTATTCTATTCTATATTTTCTGTTCTGTTCCTGCATTCCATTCCATTCCATCAATTCTATTCTATTCTATTCTGCATTCTATTCCATTCTGCATTCTATTCTATTCTATTCTATTCTGCATTCTATTCTGCATTCTATTCTATTCTATTCTATTCTATTCTGCATTCTATTCTATTCTATTCTATTCTATTCTATATTTTCTGTTCTGTTCCTGCATTCCATTCCATCTATTCTGTTCTATTCTATTCTATTCTATTCTATTCTATTCTGCATTCTATTCTGTTCTATTCTATATTTTCTGTTCTGTTCTGTTCCTGCATTCCATTCCATCTATTCTATTCCATTCCATTCCATTCTATTCTATTCTATTCTATTCTATTCTATTCTATTCTATTCTGTTCTGTTCTGTTCTGTTCTATTCCATTCCATGAATCCCACTGCTTTCATTTTATCTTCCTGGGCGATGTCTATTTATGGCTTTGTTTAAGGCTTGACACCAACTTCATGGCATCCATCCTTTATCCACACCCACCCCCCCACCCACCCCACTGCCTTCCTTTCCTCCTCCGGGAGAAAGCCCCTCTACCGGTGGTGGGGCCTGCTGAAGAGTCACCCACGCCCCGCTGCCCATCATCCCCATCCTCCTCCTCCTCCTCCTTTCGGAAGCCCCGCCCACCCCGAAGCAAGCAGCCTCCCCCCCCCCGCTTCGTCAGCGCGCCGCCCGTCTGAAGCGCCGCAGAGCCCGAGCCGGAGAAGGAGCGGTGGGCGTGGCCGAGCGCCGCTCCTCCTCCTCCTCCTCCCCCCTCGTCCCTCCTCCCTCCTCGCCGCTCGGGCTTCCTCGCGCCGCGCGGTGGGCGTTCCCCGTCGTCGCCACGCCCCGCGTCGTCGCCACGCCCCCTGGCGACGCTCCTCGGCCGCCATTTCGCGGCGGCATGGCGGCGGCGGCGGCCTCCTCCTCAGCGGGGTGAGCAGGCGCCCTTTTTCCTTCCTTCCTTCCTTCCTTCCTTCCTTCCTTCCTTCCTTCCTTCCTTCCTTCCTCGCTAACGCTTCTTTCCCCCGCAGCCTCTCCGAGACCGACATCGAGCGGGAGCCCGCGGCCGCAGCGCAGGTAAGCCGCGGGTTCGGGTCTCCCCCGGGGAGGGAAGGTGAAGGAGCAGCCATGGAAGGGTGGGGTGGGGGAACAGAAAAGCCCCTCGCCAGGGCTTGGCTCTCCTTCCCCCCTCCCCCCGAGGTTTATTTTTGGGGGGGCTGTGTGTGAAGGATATGGGTTCCTGGGATCTCTTCGTGGTCTCCTTTCCCAGACATGCGCAGTGGGGTTGGGGGAGCCTTGGAAGAGGTTCAAGGTTTGGGGGTTTTTTTTGGAATAAAGTACATGGTCTGGGGGGGTGAAAGAAAAGAAAAATGGTAAAGGGGGTGGGTGGCGGGGCAATGACAATAACCACAAGCCGCAATAGTGTTGTGATCCTGGACACACACACATACACACACCCACACAGCCTCTCCCGTGGAGGGAACCTATGGGGGAATGGAAAATCCCTGCTCCTTTTTTTCCCCTCTGAATGTTTTGGGAAAGAAACGGGTTCCTGGGATCTCCCTGTGGTCTCCTTTCCCTTTCCCAAACATGCACAGTTGAGGCCAAGCCTGCCTGGTGGGTGGGAGGGGCCATTGGAAGAGCTCCGCTTTTTAAATATTATTTTGGTCAGGAAGCGATGGGCAGGGCTTGGCTCCCTTTTTTTTCCTGAATGTTTTGGGAAAGAATGGGTTCCTGGGAATCTCCCCGTGGTCTCCTTTCCCTTTCCCAAACATGCACAGTTGAGGCCAAGCCTGCCTGGTGGGTGGTAGGGACCATTGGAAGAGCTCCGCTTTTTAAATATTATTTTGGTCAGGAAGCAACAGCCAAGGCTCCCTTTTTCCCCCAGAGTGTTTTGGGGGAGGAGCATGGCTCCTGGGATCTCCTCGTGGTCTCCTTTCCCAGAAAATGCACCGTTGAGGCTAAGCTTGCCAGGAGGGTTTCTCGGAAGAACCCCAGTGAAGAGTGAAGTGGAGTGAAGAGAGAGGGCAACAAGAACAACAACAACAGCAGCAACCCGGCAACAACCACAACAAAGTTTTGATCCTCTCTCGCTGGTGGGAAATTGGAAGTCGTCCAGAACTTTTAAAATAAAAAGGAATTAAGAACGAACAAAATAGGCCCTGAAATAGGTGGACCCCCTCCTCTTTGTGGCAGCCCCTCAAATACTGGAACACTCTATTCATTTCTTCACAAGGGCTCCGAGGGTCTCCCCCCCCCCCCTCCGTTACAGATAGCTATCTTCCCAGTTCAGAAAAGTTGCTTCTGGTGGTGGTTCCTTCCAAAGTGGCATTTTGCTAATCGGTTCTGTTTGATTGGTCAAGCCAGAGATTTCACTGTAGGCTGTGAAAGGTTTTGCAGGAAACATCAAGTTAATGTTTTGTACTTGCCTTGTAGAAGCTGACAGCAGCCTTGGAACAGAAGCCAGACGACCCAGAATATTACTGCCATCGAGCTTATGCTTACATTCTTCTACAGAATTACCACGGTATCATTTATTTTCCTGGTTTTTTTCTCTTTAGTGAAAATCTGTCTGTCTGTCTGTCTGTCTCCTATCTATCTATCTATCTTTCTTTCTTTATCTATCTATTTATCTATCTATCTAGCTAGCTATCTAGCTAGCTAGCTATATCTCTTATCTCCCGTCTGTCTGTCTATCTGTCTATCATCTTTGTCTGTCTATCTCATATCTTGTCTGTCTATCATCTTTGTCTATCTCACATCTTGTCTGTCTGTCTGTCTGTCTGTCTGTCTATCTATCTATCTATCTATCTATCTATCTATCTATCTATCTATCTATCTATCTATCTATCTATCTCCATCCATCAATCTATCTATATCTCTATCTCATGTCTGTCTGTCTATCATCTTTGTCTGTCTATCTCACATCTTGTCTGTCTGTCTGTCTGTCTGTCTGTCTGTCTGTCTATCTATCTATCTATCTATCTATCTATCTATCACTTGCTATCTAGCTATCATCACATTTTTTTAAAATATTGATACACACAAGTAGGTAAAATTCTTATCTTCCTCTTGTGTTATATCTACTTAAAGTTTTTTTTAGAAATTATCCTTTCCGCTAAATTCTTAGGCCGCTATTTTGAAATAATAATTGTGGCGAAGTCCCTTGATGGTCCAGTAAAACCTTCACGTTCTGGACCTTGGTGCATTAGATTGAGCGAACCATTGGCCAGATTCTACGGCAATTTGCATTATTGCTGTTATTTGTATACGTTGCACAAACATGATGAGAGATACGTTTATGTCATGTACAATCAGTTATAAGTTGCTTGATTGGTATGCTCCGTGCATATGCACGCATATATTTCAAATTGTTTCACTTGGATCATTCATCTGTTGTACATTCCTCCTGGCAAGACACAGTTCAAGATAATTTATGTCTGCTTAAAGGCAAAATGTGTCTCCAGTGCACATTTTAGGAGAGGTTCTTGGTGAATGAAGTAGGATAGGAAAGTATCCCTGTGCCTTGAGCACTAGTTGAGTGCCTTTTCAGCAGTGCATTCCTGAGTGTAAGCTAAATGTGTTAAGTTTTGTGTAGAAACGTAACACAAATGAAAGAGGACAACCATCTGTTAAAGATTTTCAGACTGGTAGTGTTCCTTCAGTCCAGCAAATTTAAGATATCAAGTTTCTCCTTTATTGAGTTATGCCAACTATTTATTTTCTAATGCATGAAGATGAGCCTAAATTACTTGGATTTTCCAGCACGACCAGATTGTCTTTGATACGTTCAACTAAGGTATTGGACTAGAAAAAGGCTTGTGTTCGAATCTGTCTTTGCTCATGGAAGCTCACTGGGTAATTTAGGACTGTCCCCGTCTCTTTCAGCCCAGCCTGCCTCAGAAGGTGGTCGTGGTGGGGAAAATGGAAGGGGCAGGAGTGGGCTATGCATCCTGCCTTGAGCCTGGAAAATAAAGAGCAGAGATCTAATAAAAGGAATAGTAGAATCAAGGTAGCAACTGTTGTGTTTTGCATCTGCGTAATCAGTTATTTTAAAAAAAATGCAACATTTTTTTTTTGCAGATGCAATTACTGATGCAAAAAAAGCATTATCGCTGGATCCTAATAATGCTGTAGCCTTTCTCAGGCAAGGGTAAGTGCCAATTTTTCTGGCCACGTGCAATTGTGTTGTAATTTTTTACTATTTAGTGAAGATACTGGCTTTGTGCCGAAAGGATGCTTACGTGAATATATATATATATATATACTTTTAGTCAGGCAAGATGCTTCCCCAGTTATTTCTTCCAAATCCTTGCCTTTTATAACAAGCGGCAGTTGGTTTCGTTAATACATGTAAAATTAAGTATATACAATCTTTCTCACTGTTTGCTCCTGTTATTCCTAACAGAAACAACCCTGGCTTAAAATCTACGTGTTTTTTTAGTCATTTTCTCCAACCGTGTGTGTATTTTTGACCAAAATCTTTTAGCTTTAGGGCATGACATACCCTCCTTTTATCTGTCCCTCAGAATCGGTGAATATTATTTGAAAAATTACGCTTCTGCCCTGAAGTCTTTCGCTGAGGGACAAAAACAGGATGGTAAGTATGAGGGTACATGGATTTTAAAATATCATCCTCGTCATTTTAGCCATTCCACGTGTTTCCTACGGTCCTGAGCCTTCTTTAGCCAGTTGGGCTAAAGAGTTTCATCTTCGGAACCATGACATAGTGGTTTACTACGCCTCTAGGTCTTCTCCAGATACAAAAAAACCCCCCACCTCTTCCTTCAGTAAATTTATTCAACATAACCTGGCTCTTCTTCAGTTTTTTTTTTTTAAATAACCTGAAAAATAATCTTTCCATGTGCCAATACAATCTCAGCTTTAAAATATAGACAGGCCATATAGTAGCTCATAGGAAACAGGTGCATAATTTCTATTCAGGTCATAGAAGTAACACGTAGGTAGTTTTTGCATAACAACCAGCTGCTTCGTGAGGGTTCAGTTACAACAGATGTGCAAAAGCTACTTAGGAACCAGTTCTAGTGGCTGCACGCCCACAATCACACGCACACACAGGACTGCATTTTGAGCACTTGGCAACTGGCTCAAATGTATGTGTTGTTGCAGTGTCCCGCAATCACATATCTGCAATTTATGACAAAATTTTTTTGCCAGTTTTCAGCAAAAAGTGGCCATAGCCGCGGCATTTGTTTAAGCAACACCCTGCAAAATGTTGTAAAATCAGGTCTGGTCATGTTGGTGCCTTGACTGACACCTGCCATGGCTTACAACCAAAATTCTGGCCTCCATCACAGTCATAAATCTGTGCATCACAAAGACTTTCAGCCAACCTGTGCGAGCGCGTATTGGAACCGCCTCTGCTTGCTTTCCTTGGTGAAAACATTTTAATTGCAAAAGGATTAAGCACTTTTGAAAATCAATTAGTGTTTCTCTGAGCTGGACTTTTCCAGTGGAGGTCGTACCGTGCCGTTCGTAGAAACGTCAGTTGCTGCTATTTTATCTATCAGCGGCTGCGTTTAGTTTGTTACGCTAAACTGAAATTGTGAAGGATTCCGGTTTACCGCGAGCAAATAGCCTTTTAGCGATCTCTGTTCCATAACGGCCACTTGATTTTTATTTCCCCCCCCCTGCAGTGGAAATAGCTAAACCAACAATTGAAGCTCCTTTCACTTTGACTTGCTGTAAGGTAAAAAACCCTACTCTGGCTTCTGTCTCTTAGGCAGGGCCAAGAAGCACAAGCTGAGATCCCATCGTGGTTTCCTGCTGGAGAGAAACAAGCCAGAGTTTCTAGTTCAAATATTCTTCTCAAAAAGGAAGACACAAACAATGGTTTGCAATGGTTGTTAGATGTTGCCAGTTACCAAGGCTGGCGTAGATTTTTCTCTCCTGCAAAATCTCTAGAGGTATCCTAGATTCCAAGTATTTAGTTTTTAGGGAGAGAATTAAAAGTCCACTAATTCTAAACCCAGCCGTAGTAGCTGGATACGTGCTTGGTTATCCCTTTAGTCCAGGGGTCTCCGAACTTGGCAACTTTGAAGACTTGTGGACTTCAGCACCCAAAATTCTGGATGGTGGCTGGGGAATTCTGGGAGCTGAAGTCCACAAGTCTTCAAAGTTGCCTGTATTTAATCCAAACCCAAGTTAACTCAGAGTGAGGATATAGGACAGAGGCCCCCAGCCTCTGGGACACCAGAGACCAGGTTCCATGGAGAGAGGTTTTTCCACGGACCGGAGGGTGTGTGGTTTTGTGTGCTGCCTGCATCTCACTGATGGGGCTTTGCTTGTTTGTGCGGACCGGTTGCTGGCATGCCGCAGCCTGGTACCGGTCCATGGACCGGGGGTTGGGGACCCCTGATATAGGGGAATAGATGCAGTTTGTCTTGTCTATTTAATGGTGTTTTTCCTCCTCCTCTTCTTCTTCCTCCATTTTTCTGTTCTCCTTCTCTTCCTTCTTCCCTTCTCCTTTCTTTTCTCATCCTCCTGCTCCTCCTCTTCTTCTTCCTCCATTCTTCTGTTCTCCTTTCTTCTCTTCTTCTTCTTCTTCTTCTCCTTCTCTTTCTTCCCTTCTTTCTTTTCTCCTCCTTTTTTTCTTCTTCTCCTCCTCCTCCTCCTCTTCTCCTTCTCTTCCTTCTTCCCTTCTCCTTTCTTTTCTCCTCCTCTTCCTCTTCTTCCTCCATTCTTCTGTTCTCCTTTCTTCTCTTCTTCTCCTTCTCTTCCTTTCTTCCCTTCTTTTCCCCTCCTCCTCCTCCTCCTTCTCTTCTTCTTCTCTTCCTCCTCCTCTTCCTCCATTCTTCTGTTCTCCTTTCTTCTCTTCTCCTTTTCTTCCTTTCTTCCCTTCTTTTCCCCTCCTCCTCCTCTTTTTCTTCTTCTTCTCCTCCTCCTCCTCCTTCTCCATTCTTCTGTTCTCCTTTCTTCTCTTCTCCTTCTCTTCCCTTCTTTTCTCCTCCTCCTCCTCCTCCTCCTCCTCCTCCTCCTCCTCCTCCTCCTTCTTCTTCTTCTTCCAATAAGAAAACAAGCAAGCTCAGAGAGCACCAAGGACCCCACAGTCATTGTTCTCCTCCTCCTCCGAAATCTGGGTCATTGCTTGATGCATGGGAAACTGCAGCATTCTTAAAAAAAATGTTTTCTGTTACCTTTTCTAACGCTTCATAATTATACTCATGATGGTCAAGGGTCCGCAGATGTGGTGGAGGGCCACACGTTTTGCCTTTGCCTACTTTTACCTTTTTTTTTTCCTTTCCAAAATTAAACGCTAGAAATCTGCCTTCAGGGGCAAAAGCCAGAGTCTCAAGTCCCTTTCAGAGTAAAAGAAACAGAAATCAAGAGGCGGTCCGTGTTTTTGGTCGACGGCACCCTATAACGCTGCATCTTTATTACCTGCAGGTGCTGATTCAGCCTTTCCTGTCTGGATGAAAAGATGCGAAGAGGCCCTCAGTGGTAAGCTCCCCTTTGCGTATCTGTCCTTTCATGTTGTGGCTAAAGAAGTCAGTCATAAATTTTGGGCTCCCTTGTGCTCGTAAGTCGAGGACTTCCTTGTTCTGTCCCAGCCTACGTGAGTCCTTGTTGATCTCACAAGGAGAAACCCCTCTTCCAAACAAGCAGGCTGGAACCGCAGGAAAAAACCAATCCCCTTTTATTGTTCACAGACCTTAGCAAATGTCCAACGCAAACAAACACAATTCATAGAAATTCGATTCCTCAACACGAACGGCCACCAGCACCTCCCACACCTTCCCTTTTATTATGCAGGCAAGGCATGGCTTCCTAATGCCTTCTCCTTTGCCTTTGGAGCCGCTCCATTGCATTCCTCTGTCCTACTAGCTTCTCTTGCCTGCGCCTTCGTGCCTCTGGGATTTGTCCCAGCTGTTCTTCATCACCGTCCAACTCAGGCTCCCAGCACAGCTGTGTCTCAGCCTGAGCGCGAGTAGAGGGGCCAGGCTCCTCGTCCGACTGTAAGCCTCGGAGCTCCTCAGAGCCTTCCTCTGACTCCGATGTCACTCCAGGCTCCTCCTCCTCCTCTGATTCCTCAGACTCAGCTGCCGGGTCCTTTGGCTGGCGATGAATCCCAACATTCCTGTATTAGAGAGGGGAAAACTTCTTGCATTGCAGATAGAATCGGCAAGCCTCAGTTGACAAAACAGAGAATGCAGGATTGGGTGGGATTTGTCTGGATTTGTAAATTCCATGCGAATTTTCTTAAGTTTAGTGTTGTTTTCCTTTTGGGTAAACGTGGCAGACAGGTAGACCTTGACTTACAACAGTCCATTTAGCGGCCGTTCAAAGTTACAACGGCACTGAAACCAAGTGACTTAATGACCATTTATCACACTTAAGGCCATTGCGACATCGCCAGGGTCACATGGTCGAAGTTCAGACGCTTGCCAAGTGACTCGTATTTACGACGGTTGCCGTGTCCCGGGGTCATCGGATCCCCTTTTGGGACCTTTTGACAAGCAAAGTCAACGGGGGAAGCCAGATTTATTTAATGACCGTGTTACTAATTCAACAACGGAAGTGATTCACTTAACAACGCTGGCAGGAAAAGTCATAAAATGGGCCCAAATCCACTTAACAACTGTCTTGTTAGCAATGGAAATTTTGGGCTCGTTTGTGGTTGTAAGCCAAGGAATACCTGTACATCTTTTGGGAAATGTAGTTATGAGAGCACGCAAAGCCTTGTAGAAATTTTTTCTATAAAATCTTGCCCCCGGGAGGCAAAAGTACAATTTGCAACTATTTTGTAATATTTAGCCTTTAGAGAGAACGTAAAGCTCTCGAAGTACTTTACTTCCCTCTAGCAGGCAAGCAATATAAACAAATAATGCTAGCACCTCATCTTACAGAGAAGGAAAAAAAAAACATTGCTTCTGGCCTGCACACACATGCAGGGATTTTATTTATTTTTTTATGTCTTGTTTTCCATGTCAAGCATACCAGTAAGAAATGTCATTGCCTAACCTCTGTAAAAGATAAAGGTGGGGGGAAAAATCTGCTTCGTTCTTCTTCAAATAAGGGTTCATTTTGGAAGTCTTTTTTTTCCCTGCGGTACCTGTGCAAATTTTGCAACTGCCAGTCTTAAGAATAAAACCTTTCTGCAGATTATTTTTTTAAAAAAGCATATTTAAGCTCATTTAACTAAAATGAAAATGCGTTGCATTCTGAACAAATTCACTCATAATATTCAATTGTTACATGGAGCAAAATTCCTGCTGTATTATAAAAACTTGTGTGCACGGGCTGGAGGCCTTGAATCTAGTTTTATGATCTAAACATGATTTATGTTGGCCTGTTCTCTTTATTACCTGCAGTCTGATAGGAAGCTGAATGTTTCCTGGTCAGCCTCTCAATTTCTGCCCAGAATATCCTTAGTATCCTTCTTTGCTAATGTCTGTCTTAGAAGTCGACATACCATATTAAGGAAAGCCAGCTTTTATACACCCATTTAATTTCATAGGACCTTCATTGGCAAAATGGTTGGAAGTGGGTTTTTTTCCCCCCTTTTAGATATAAACATGCATTTTGCAAAACGTTACGCATATTGTTTCAAGTTGAAATTCCTTGTTTTGACTTTGGAGTTTGAAACAACTCTTGTTTAGATTTACTAATCAATAAAGCCAATTCTGAACAGTTGGATGATTTTGGTTGCATGGGAAAACCTTTGATTAAAAGAAACAATGTAAGTTGATCAAAGCTGTTTCAGTACTTGATCTGTTGGACCTGCCTTTATTATCGAAACCTTTTCGAAGCAATGACGCAGCCTTATTAATCAATTTTAACTTAAGTAGATCCACTTTCAGTTCCGCATTAAAGCTCATTTATTTAGTAAAATGTGTTGATGGAAAAAGGGAAAATTTGAGCTAACGTGTTGTACGATTGCTGTGTATGTATCTTAAAAACGTGCTTATGCTTTGTTAGAGTTGTGTCTCAAAATCTGAATTATTTTCCTTTGCAGCATCTGGATCACAGGCTGAAACGGTATGATTTTCCCCCCTAATAGATGAATTGATTAAAAATGTAATTGTAGGAGTTACTTTTAAAATAGCTTTTCCTTGGTATATGTGAAATTTGCCTTTTTCTTAAAAAAAATAAATGTAGACGTATCCTGTAGTCCCATGACAGTGTGACAATAACAATGTGTTATTTTTCAATTGCACGATAATAATTATTATCTGCAGTGTAAAACTGTAATATACGGAGAACCAGTTATGCCTAGTGGTTAAGGCTCCAGGCTAGAAATTAAGACTATAAGCTCTAGACCCACCTTATGCAGGACAGCCAGCTGGGTGACTTTGGCCCAATCACCAGGAGACGGTGAGTTCTAGTCCCGCCTTAGGCAGGAAAGCCAGTTGGGTGACTTTGGGCCAGTCGCCAGGAGACGGTGAGTTCTAGTCCCGCCTTAGGCAGGAAAGCCAGTTGGGTGACTTTGGGCCAGTCGCCAGGAGACGGTGAGTTCTAGTCCCGCCTTAGGCAGGAAAGCCAGTTGGGTGACTTTGGGCCAATGGGCAGGAGACGGTGAGTTCTAGTCCCGCCTTAGGCAGGAAAGCCAGTTGGGTGACTTTGGGCCAATGGCCAGGAGACGGTGAGTTCTAGTCCCGCCTTAGGCAGGAAAGCCAGTTGGGTGAGTTTGGGCCAATCGCCAGGAGACGGTAAGTTCTAGTCCCGCCTTAGACAGGAAAGCCAGTTGGGTGACTTTGGGCCAATGGGCAGGAGACAGTGAGTTCTAGTCCCGCCTTAGGCAGGAAAGCCAGTTGGGTGACTTTAGGCCAATGGGCAGGAGACGGTGAGTTCTAGTCCCGCCTTAGGCAGCAAAGCCAGTTGGGTGATTTTGGGCCAATCGCCAGGAGACGGTGAGTTCTAGTCCCGCCTTAGGCAGGAAAGCCAGTTGGGTGACTTTGGGCCAATAGACAGGAGACGGTGAGTTCTAGTCCCGCCTTAGGCAGGAAAGCCAGCTGGGTGACTTGGGCCAATCGCCAGGAGACGGTGAGTTCTAGTCCCGCCTTAGGCAGGAAAGCCAGCTGGGTGACTTGGGCCAATCACCAGGAGACGGTGAGTTCTAGTCCCGCCTTAGGCAGGAAAGCCAGCCACACTTACTCAGCCCAATCCACCTCACATGGTTGTTGTGGGGAAATAGGATAAGGAAGGATTATTAAGGAGTCTGAAGGAGTATTCATAAAAATAAATGAATAAAAAACAGAATTAAATCCAAAAACACAGTAACATATTGCATACACCAATGACTGTCTAGACCAGTGTTTGTCAATCTTGACAATTTTAAGGCATGTGGACTTCAACTCCCAGAATTCCACAGCCAGCATTGCTGGCTGTGGAATTCTGGGAGTTGAAGTCCACATGCCTTAAAATTGTCAAGGTTGAGAAACACTGGTCTAGAAGGTTCATGCATACAGCACGTACCTCCTGCTCATTCTCTTATCTATACAGTCCCAGCACTGCACTGCCATTTATTTTTAAATAAATGGAATCCCATTTACCGCTCGATGCGAAACACTGGAATATTTGTGGTTTGTAGGGGGGGGGGGAGAACAAAGCAACAACTCCTGTGATTTTTCTGCACAATTGGCAGAATATTTGCTGTGTTTTATTATTTATTATCATGAGCAATACCGGTGCAAGCTTTTTGGCTTCTTCCGTTTCGTATCCTTTATTTATACTTTACAAATGCGATAAAAGAGATTTAATATGGTTGTATGTTCCTTTAGTTTTTCCCCCCCCCTCTTAAAATTGTTGAGGAATTGCATCACGTTCCGTGGTTTACCTAAAGTCACAGATGTGAGGGGAAAAAGGTACTACGTGTCTAGGAGAGGGGGTGGGGAAAGGTTGGGAGTTCCATTCCTTTATATATATATATATAAAATTTATTTATTTATTTTTCCAAACTCTCCCCCATACATATACCCATACCTATACATACATGTAAGCCGCCCTGAGTCCACCAGGAGAAGGGCGGGGTATAAATGTAATAATAAATAAATAAATAAATACCGTGATATTTATCAGATCTTAACATACATTCTTTTTACATTCTTACATATAAGATACTTTTAATGAAATAAATACATACACATGACTTTTGGTGTTGCTCGCCCATTTCCCCTTTCACTGCATCCACACTCCTCCTCCTCTACCTTCTTTCTCCCTTTCTTCTCTTTCTTCCCTCTTCTTCCTCTCCTCTCCTCTTTCCTTCACCACTCTCTCCTCCAACCTTCCTACTTCCTTCTGGGAGTTCCATTCCTGATGGATTTGCCCCGCTTCATTTATAGCCGGTGAGATTCAGCTGGCATCTGGCAAAAAAAATCTTGGGATTTGCCATGTTGCAGATTAATTGCAATTGGAAAGCAGGAAAGCGTTGGTGAAAGTGGCCCATACGTTGAATAATCACATTCCTATTGTATCCTCAGCTCTCACACTGTTAATGGGCTAGGGTTGTGGAGTAACCCACCCAGGAAAGTAGCCAATTGCCTCCTCCGTGCCCCAAGAAGTCTGACTCCCATTTTGATGGGGTGTTGGGAAGAGGCAGTAAGACTCCCAATTAATCTTGTCGGAGGATGGGAGATAAGGTTGTACTTCCCTTATTTATACATTGGCTTATGTGGTAGCGCTGCTGTTTTCTTAACCATGTAGGGAAATGTCTTCCTGGTTTGGAGAGGGAGTTGGGCCTGTCTGGCTAACAATAGGGGTCTTCCAACTTGGCCCTTTGATGACTTGTGGACTTCAACTCCCAGAATTCCTCAGCCAGCCTCCATTTTGTTTGTTAGATTTAAGACAGGGGTCTTCAGACTTGGCCCTTTGATGACTTGTGGACTTCAACTCCCAGAATTCCTCAGCCAGCCTCCATTTTATTTGTTAGATTTAAGACGTGGGTCTTCCAACTTGGCCCTTTGGTGACTTGTGGACTTCAACTCTCAGAATTCCTCAACCAGCCTCCATTTTGTTTGTTAGATTTAAGACAGGGGTCTTCAAACTTGGCCCTTTGGTGACTTGTGGACTTCAACGTGCCTGGCTGAGGAATTCTGGGAGTTGGAGTTCACAAGTCATAAAAGGGCCGAGTTTGAAGACCCCTGGGCTAACACAATCCCCAAGTATGTGCAGAGGAACGTTGAAGAGTTAGGAAAGGCCAGTTGGACACAGATTTCTCTGAGAAATGCCATTTCAGATGTTTGTTCCCCTCTCCCTGCTTTGGACGTGGAAGTGTAATTAGTAGCTCTCTTTGCCAATGGGTATCCAGTCATGGATGAACGATGGCCAGGTCATCAATTGCCTCCTGTTTTCATGGGTCTTAAATCTCCCTCCCTCCCTCCTCTTTCTCTTTCTCCCTCTTTCTCTCATTCTCTTTCTCTCTTCTCTCTTTCTCTCTCCTTCTCTTTTTCTTTCTCTTCTCTCCTCTTTCTCCCTCTTTCTCTCTCTCTTCTCTTTCTCTCCTTCTCTTTTTCTTTCTCTTCTCTCTCTCCCTCCCTCCCTCCCTCTCTGTCTCTGTGGGTATTCAAGTATTTTATGTAAATTCTATGATTCCTTTTCTTATCTAAGAGATACTAAGAGATCCATCTGTCCTGCAATGTAATAAATATAATCATGCTTGGCTTAAAAACTGACATTGTTTTTAACTGTTCAACATCTTTTCATGATGATGATGATGGTGATGTCCCTCGTATTTCCGCAACACCAGGCGTGGCCATCTAAGATCAAGTAAGTTTTGTGGTTCATGATGTTAGTATTGACACACTGCATTTTGTAAAAAAATCCTGTGAACCTTCTGCACGCTGTTTGTAACCCACACTTAATGTGCCTATCGGAGAACGGTACTCAGCCAGCCGTGTCATTCTCAGCCAGATGAGGGACTCCGGTTAAGTAGCTTTGCCAATTTCCTCGTGATTTGTCAGTGAAGGGAAGCCTCGCTCTAAACATCAACAGGACACCTCAGGTTTTTTTCATGTGTGTGTGTGTGTGTGTATTTGTGTGTGTGTGTGTGTGTATTGCATCCTTTTAGAGATTCGTTGAGGCCACCTGTAGGTTTACCTGTGTCCTCAGGATCACCTGAGTGGTGCAAATGGGTGTGGAGCCTTCTTGGAAGTGCTGAAAGGACCGTGTTGTAGATTGGAGATAGATGATGATTCTCTCTAAAAGAAGGCAAAGGACCAGCTGTCTGCAAGGAGTATAAATCCTGCCATTCTCCCCACCATCCAGTCAGAGCTGAAGAAGCTTCTGGGATGAGAAGCGAAACGTCTTCAAAGAAAAAACAAGAAAGTCCAGTGGCCTCCTGAAAAAGCACCTTTGGATTTTACTTCTAAGGCAGTGATGGCGAACCTTTTAGAGACCGAGTGCCCAAACTGCAACCCAAAACCCACTTATGCATCGTCGGGTGCCGGGTGGGTGTAGCCCATTGGCTGGGCGTGGCTGTGGCGGTAACAGCAAACTGGGTGGGACTAAAAAGTTCAATCAATCAATTCCAACTTTGCAAGATCTTTTTTTTTCCCACGAGAAGTTGAAATTGACTGATTGATTGAACCCTTTTTTTTTTTTACACACGGCAGCAGAGGCCTAAAGCGAAAAGGTTTTATTAAACCCAGCTGAAGGCCTAGAACTGGGGCGACGGCGCGCGTGCCCACAGAGAGGGCTCTGAGTGCCGCCTCTGGCACCCGTGCCACAGGTTCACCACCACTGTTCTAAGGTGTCAAAATGGGAGGAGGAAACCAGCATCAGTTGATATTTGTGTTAACAAATCTTTTTTTCTTTTAACCCCCCCTCCCCCTCCCCCCAAAGGTATGACTGGTACCAGACAGATTCTCACGTCATTGTAACCATTATGATCAAACAAGCGAAGCAAGAGGACGTAAACATAACCTTCTTGGAGAAAGAGGTAACGCCGTTTTGAGATTCAGAACGTCTTTTGACAGGCTATAATCTGTCGCCATCTGCTAGCTAAAAGAGAGAGGCGATACCATGCAACGAGGGCTGGAACGGGCGATCGTGTAAATGTCGCCGGCTGTGATGTTCCGCGGCTCTCTGCCAGTACAGGTAGTCCTGTTCATTTGGCGACCGTTCAAAGTTACGACAGCATTGAAAAAAGTGACTTAGGACCGTTTTTCACACCTACAACCATTGCAGCATGCTCCCGTAGTCGCGTGATCAAAATTCAGACACTCGTCAACTGACTCATGTTTACGACGGTCGCAGCGTCCCGGGATCCTACGATCCCCCTTTTGCGATCTTCCGACAAGCAAAGTCAATGGGGGGGAGCCAGATTCACTTAACAACCGGGTTACTAACTTTACAGTTGCAGTGATTCGCTGAACAACCGGAGCGAGGAAAGTCATAAAACGGGGCACAGCTCACTGAACAACTTAGTCTTGCTTAGCGGTGGAAATTTTGGGCTCTGTTGTCGTAAGTCAAGGACTGTCTGTACTTAATGACGGGGGGGAAAAAAAGACCTAGGTTTCATTACTGGCACTGTGTATTTTGACAGTTCTACAAGTTGCTACTTTCTGTTGTAACTGGAAGGCATGAAAACATAAAACACTAGAAAAAGAAACTATTATTTGTAATTTTGGATTCAGTTGCTACCCTTTAATCTAAAATTGTATCTAAACATTTCTCAACAATCTGACCTAATAGCTTTTTGATCAGATATAACTCTCTGGTGCCTGAGAATATATCAGTCTTTTTTGTATTATTAATAAAAATTTAAAATTTAAAAAAAACCAAAACAGAATATATCAGTCTTCAGTTGATTTCTTCTCCGCTTTTTGTGGGGTTTGGGTTTTTTTTGGAAATTCTTATGCCTGTGTATATTAACAGTTTCCAGGGAAGGTTCTTTGAATTCATTTTTTTTCTGAATAGGTAAAATGACGATTAGGAAGTCTGCTTTATTAATGGCCGGACTGTGATAATGTTGTCTTGTCTCGACAGCTAAAGGCATCGCTGAAGCTTTCCTCGGAGGAAAACTACAAGCTAAAACTTCATCTCCTCCACTCCATAGTTCCGGAGCAAAGTTTATTTAAAATTCTTTCAACCAAGGTAATTTTTTTAAAAAAGTAACACATGATTTTGCCACCTCCACTTCATATTTTTATCCTGCCTAAATGGACAAGGACACTTCTTGTCCTTTTATGGGCCAGGTAAGCAACGTGCCCAATGAAACAGCCACCAGACCTTGGAGTTTAGAGCTTTCCTTTACAGCAGTCCATCCTTCCAAGTCCAAATAATGTATGTAAATAATTCCAGTAATTTAATTCCAGAGCTTTTGTTTTGCTGACACAGAAAAGTTGAGCCTCGCTGTTTGGATTAGAAAGAAACCCAGAATAAGATATAAATATTAAATCTGATTATAGCAACGTGGTAATGGCCTTATAGCGATCTGGACTGATTTGGACTTGGACTTTGTTAAAAGGGCTTTATATCTTTTCAATATTAGAGATGGTATAATGAGAAAAGAACTGAAATATGGGAAATGATGGAATTAATTATTGGAGATTTGGAGAAATAATGAAAAACAATAGAAGATTGGTGAGAAAGAGAAGAATTTACTTTTGGAGTTAATAATGCTTAAATAAAAAAAACACTTGGGGCACCTGAATAGTAAATGAATATGTCAGTTTAAGATTAAATATTTGTAAAATTAAGAAAGCATGATACAGGATCTTTGGGGATGGATAATGAATTTGTAAACTTTTATGGATTAATGAAATTTATACAGAGTGATATATTCAATGAAAATTCGCTTTAGAAAGGTTTCAATGAGTTTATAACAATATAAATAGATAGAGAATGTTAGTCTATTTTTAATTATATGATTTGGATGAAATGTTATATTAGGGAATGAATTGGTTTTAGATATTGACTTGATTATAATGTCTTTAAATAAATGGAGTTCACTAAGCCTAAGTTAAATGTGAGAAGTATAGGTTTTTATAGATTAAAATCTTTTTCTATTGATTAATGTAGTTGATGGTTAGACATAGTAATGAATGAATTCAATGAAAATGTATTAATCTGATTATAATATTCTATATAGATAGGGAAACTTTTAAGAAATAATGGGTATATATTCACTATGTTACTGTTTGTTTTTAAAAAATGGATCACCACGTTTCCACGTGGGTTCTTAAGCTGTGTTGGTGTAAAATGGAAAACTAATAAAAATTGTTTTGGAAAAAAAAAAGTTGAGCCTCGCAGCGGTTGAGGTGGCATCTGCCCATCCCAGGTCCTTGAGAAGGACTTGATAGATGGATAAAAATGTCAAATCCAATCTGAATATCTGGCTGACTGTGCAACAAAACATAATAATAATAAGTAGGGTTGTTTTTCTTAAAGTCCATCGTTACTTTGAACAGCATTACCTGATTGCTTGTAAATTGAGGACCGTTCTTAAAACGATTGGGAGGGAGGCTTATAGAATAAAAAGTAATTTAATTTGTCAAAATGAATTTGCTGCATTGCTTTTTAAATAAGCAATTTCCAAAGTGTAAATCTTCAACCTGGTGGTTAAGATGGATTGTTTGCCAATCTAGTTGGGGGGGCTAATCTAGTTTTGCTTTTTTTTTTTTTTTAGACAAGTAAGAAAACGGACATACGATATCACAAATGACAGTGAGATTATGTTAACTATTCTTAATGAGCACAGATTTTATTTTATTTTTTTTTGCTTGTTTCTTGCGAGGGGACACAATTGGCGATGAAAAATGGAAGCGTTTTTGTCCGTTGTCACAATAAACAATTTACTTGCTGTTTCTAATACTGCAAACACTGTAATGGATTCGGGATAGCTTGTGAAAAGCCTCCGTTTGTTTCCATGGAGAGGAGAATCTGATTTAGAGAATGGGCTTTATTTAATTCTGTTTGTCACTGTAACTCTTATCTCAAAGCTTGACAAAAAAAATTTAGATGATTTTTTTCTCCCTTTTCTCAGTGGTATCTGTGCCAAGACGGATGTCTTTCTGAGCATCCCCCTCCCCAAAAAATGGTCCAAGAATAAGCATTATTATAGAGTTGTTAATAGAATATAACAGCTCCTAGCTCTCAGTTTTACATTTCAGGTTTCTTGTCTTAATATGGGCCAGGTAAGCAACGTGCCCAATGAAGTAGCCACATCGCTTTTTGGTCTCTTCCACAACCAGCTGGTCTTGTAAACAATATATTTCAATATTATCTGCCATCTTGTATGCCTTTGAATGAAAAATATTGCTTGGAATTGCAACGTGAATTTACAAATACGTTCATTTTTGAATATTTTACCTAAGGCTAGGAGAATTTTTGTTGGGCTCTCTGTTGGTACCGGCACAGATTAAAAGCTACCGTAGCAGGCTGCAGGCTGTCTTATCATTTTTGATGAATACCAAAACTTGGCACTCTCTGATTTGGTCAACACAGGCCTTCTCCCGTTGATTCTTAAATAGCAAGGATTAGATTTAATTTGAATTACATTTCCTGACTGTCCCTGAACCCTCCTTTTTAGATGTGCAGAGTGCATTTCATACCTTATCTTAACTGTTTTCATCAAGTTGTGCTTTTCAGCTTTCCAATCATCGCAGAAGGACCTTAAAAAGACCCAGACCCAGTTTTGGCAGCAAGTAAATTGTTTTGCATGCAGCAAATAGTCCATAAAAGAATAATTTGCTGTAGGCTATAAGAGTGTCTTATGTGTTTGAAGATGTTCACCCAGTATATTTCTTCCTGTTCAAGTGATTCATCATTAGTATAACCTTGAAATTTGTCCCTAACCAAGTTCTTACACTGAGTAAGTTTTTTAAACTGAAGCAGTTTTTAAGTTTTCTGATCAGCTGTCTAGGGATGTTTGATAAAATAGTCTGCGGGTCTTTCAATTGATTGGTGAAGTCCTGAGTGTATCGGAGCGTTTTAGAGCTACTGTTGCTGTGCCATCTGATAAAGGATTCTCAGGTAGCCATCCAAACCAGGTTTATTTTATTATTTTATTTTTATTTTTTTTTTAAAAAAAATCTGTATGTCACCCATCTTGCTATCCAGAGTTTCAGCCACATGGCAACCTGCAAATTGCTTGTCAAGATCTTGATGGATTATTTGATGTGTTCTTTGCACATATCATCCTCCAAATCAAAAGTTAAAAGCATTTTCCTGTATTTTAAAAATCAGAATGCTTAAATGTCCGACGGGAGAAATCCTGTGTTTCTCCTGAAATTTCCCTGTATTTATGGTGTGAACGGAGGTCTAATTCAGGCTGGTTTCGTTATCTGTAAGGTTTTTAGTTATCACTTTGGTCTTTTCTCTGTTTATTTTCAGTCCTGCCACTTCTCCAAATCCTTCTATTTTTTTTCATAAGCTTGAGGCTCGTCCCAAGCGGCTCTTCTAATACCAAGACCAAGTCATCTGCGAATGCTTGTAGTTTATATTTTTCATCTTTTATTTCCAGTCCTTTAATTTCTGAGTCTTGCCTAATATTTCTATTCAGTACTTCCAGTGTTAATATAAATAATAATGGGGATAATGGACATCCTTGTCTTGTGCCTTTTTTGATATTAAAGTTTTCTGTAAAATCCCCATTTACGATTACTTTAGCTATTTGTCTATGATAAATTGTTTTAATTATATTTGTAAAGTTTTCTCCAAAATCCATTTTGTTTAGTCGTTGAATCATAAATTGCCAATCTACGTTATCAAAAGCCTTCTGTGCATCTAGGAATATCAGTGCCATCCGCTTCCCTGGGTGCATTTCATAATATTCCAAAATATCTAAGACCATTCTTGAGTTCTTTTTTTTTTATTTGTCTCTTAGGTAAAAATCCATTTTGGTCTGTATGTATAAATTCAATCCAAAATTTCTTTAATCTTTCTGCTATTAGTGAAGCAAAAATTTTTATAATCCAGGCTATTTTCTGAAAGTCTGAATAGGTCTTACAATGTTACTGTTAACTATATTCCTTTAAAAAAAAAAAAAGAAAATTGGTCAAGCTGCATTAAAAAAAAAACGCCTCAGGGTTATGCTGATCTTTCCCTTCATATTGGTCACAAACCCTAATCTTCTCAAAAAGGTTCATCTATTAAATGCTTTCTTCTTCTTCTGTAGATTGAGATAAAAATGAAGAAACCGGAAGTTATACGGTGGGAAAAACTAGAAGGACAAGAGAATTCTCCTGATCTGAAAAAAAGTGAACCAGGTTTGTGTTGACTAACCAACAATCTTAGTTTTGGAAGGCCCATCAGGAGAGATCGGGTAGATTTATCGTCTGATCAGAGGGGAGCCATCAAATCTCCTCCCACATTTAAATTTCCTGCCCGCGTTTCCTTTTGCGTTGGCCACGATTCGTTATTAAAAACCGGCCTTGTGTGTTGATCAATTCACAAATTAATAATGGCCTCTCTCATTAAGCAAAGCTGGTCACGAGGAGGAGATGTACAGTTCTCGGAGGCGCTGTTAAAAATTGGATTTCGGTACACTGCACAATAACACGTGATAGAAAAAAAGGATGGCGAACACTGTACAGAACGAGGCTTGAATCCTGATTTATTCAAGCAATAAGTCCGATTAAAGGGAAAGAAACATCAGAAAGAAAAGAACAGCTGTCTGAATGTTCACCAGTAGGTTATTTTAAGTTCAGATACTTAGGCTAGGCTTTTCCCAGACTCTTAGGATAATTCTGGGAGAATAAAATTGTGAAGTTCTATTACAGGGGCCTCCAAACGTGTCAATTTTAAGACTGGTGGACTTCAACTCCCAGAATTCCCCAGCCAGCCAGGCTGGCTGGGGAATTCTGGGAATTGAAGTCCACCAGTCTTAAAGTTGACAAATTTGGAGGCCCCTGTTCTATCCCAATGAGATACATGTAAATTTATAGCTTCAGAGCAAGATACACAAGGCAAAGTGATAGAAAAAAGGTATGTGTTGGAACTTAAACTTGCAAAGTTTTTTTTTAAATAAAAAACTGATCCAATTTTCCCATTTAGCAGCTAAAATTAATCATTAATCGAGAGAAATATCTCAGAAATATCTCAGTTATCTGGATAAATACCAGATAACAATACTTTTATTTCGTCAACGTTGAGACACACGGGGTTGATGTGGCCTGATCGAATGTGTCTTCCAGCTTCAAATCCCACGCTTCACTACCCATCCTCTTCCCATCATACAAAGAATTGGGACAAATTAGTGGGAGAAATCAAAGAAGAAGAGAAGAGTGAAAAATTGGAGGGCGACGCGGCGCTGAACAAGCTTTTCCAGCAAATTTATTCGGATGGCACAGATGAAGTGAAACGGGCCATGAACAAATCATTTGTAAGATATATATATATATATATATATTTCGTCTTTCTTTTTGCCCTGTAAATTTTGAGTTGGGTTTCGTCATATTGCAAATGTAAACTAATTTAAGCACTTGACAGATAAATAACCTGTGGCAAAGGTATCTTTCTTTCTGTTAGCCAAAGACAAACCTCATTTTTATTCATCTATGGCAGGGGTAGGCAACCTTGGCTCTTTTATGACTCGTGGACTTCAACTCTCAGAATTCCTGAGCCAGCATGGCTCAGCTTAGAAACCTCTCCCTTTCCCCCCAGCATGGCTGGCTCAGGAATTCTGGGAGTTGAAGTCCACCAGTCATAAAAGAGCCAAGGTTGCCTACCCCTGGTCTATGGAGATTCTCGGTCATCCAGGTTATGATTGTCCCAAAGGCAACTGGACTTTCAAGAGGCAACTGGACTTTCTCATTATTCTTTGAAGACGTTTCCCTTCTCATCCCAGAAGCTTCTTCAGCTCTGACTGAACGGTGGGGAATGGAAGGGTTTATACTCCTTGCAGACAGCTGGTCATTTGCATTCTTTTAGAGAGTCGTTGAGGCCACTTGGGGATTTTCTGTGTTTTCAGGATCACTTGAGTGGTGCAACAGAGGGGCAGGGATAGGATATCATCTATTTCCAATCTATAACACAGTCCTTTCAGCAGTTCCACACCCATTTGCATCCATTTGTGACCCTGAGGACACAGATAAGCCTCCAGATGGCCTCAACGACTCTCTAAAAGAAGGCAAATGACCAGCTGTCTGCAAGGAGTATAAATCCTTCCATTCCCACCATCCAATCAGAGCTGAAGAAGCTTCTGGGATGAGAAGCAAAACATCTTCAAAGAAAAACGAGAAAGTCCAGTTGCCTCTTCAAAAAGCACCTTTGGGACTCAATTTCATCCCTTCTTTCCCCAATTGCTTAGACAGTGTCTGAATTGACAACAATCGTGGTGGAAATTACTTGAGCATTGTCCTAAGGCCATCTTCCTATCTCTCCATGTCTTCAGAAACTGATAAATCACGGAGTCTGGGTCTCATTTCATGAAAGGCTCATATATTAAATTGTTTTTCTCAGATGGAATCGGGCGGGACAGTCTTGAGCACAAATTGGTCAGATGTAGGTAAAAGAAAAGTTGAGGTCAATCCTCCAGAAGACATGGAATGGAAGAAGTTCTAATCTCCTCCTCGATCAACGGTTCATGTAACCCCCGTCGTACGTGGACACGGAAGTCTTGAGGATGAAGCCCCGAAGGCTGGTTCAGAAGATGGTTCCTGTTGTCGTAATCTTTACATCCTACAGCCAGACCTCCTCGTGAAGATTTTGAAGAGGTGTAATCAGGAGTGAGGTCTTTTCCTTCCGCTGCTCCCCGTGGAAAGGTGGTTTTTAAGAAGGATTCGAACCCAAGTCACTGGCCTGCTTGGCGATGCATTTGGAGAATTTAAGAAGGCCCCGTAATTGGACTATTTAGGATTATTGCCTTACCCCTCGAAATAATTTATTTGCTCTAGCGATACTGGGGCAAACACACGTCTTGGCTGTGGTGTTAAGATTGTTTTGGCTTAACTTTGCTTCCAAATAAAAATTGTAAATATATCACTTTTACTGAAAGAAGTCCGGCTCTTGTGTTTGCCAAGCGGTGGCCAGGCCCAAGTTGTCGTTGCGAGGTTTAATGAGCTGTCGGGGAGCCCACAAGGATGCTTCTGCACGATAAAATTAAGATTCAAGCTACCCTTTCTTTCTATTATTAATAAAAGCAGCCGACTGCTGTGTAAGCATTCTGACGTTTAGAACTGTGTTATAATTCAGTGCAGTAAAATCGGCAACAGACAAAGAAGTTGGTTAAAGCATACAACACCATCACACAAGGCAGTCCTCGTTTACTGACAGTAATTAGCGTCTGTTGCTAAGCAATGCAATTAAAAGGAGCATGGTGGCCCGAGTGGTTAGAAGGCTGGGCGGGAGATTAGCAAGCCCGCGTTCGAGTGCCCGAGAACTGCCGTGGGGCGTGGTTGAGCTCCCGTCCTTGGCTCCAGCTCCAGGAGCCCCCAAACTGGGTGTCCCTAGGGCAGGGGTAGGCAACCGTGGCTCTTTGATGACTCGTGGACTTCAACTCCCAGAATTCCTGAGCCAGCATGGCTCAGCTTGGAAACCTCTCCCTTTCCCCTCAGCATGGCTGGCTCAGGAATTCTGGGAGTTGAAGTCCACGAGTCATAAAAGAGCCAAGGTGGCCTACCCCTGCCCTAGGGCAGCGGTGATGTCATCACCTCATCCTTTCAACCCGGAAGCGCCTCGGTGCTTCTGACCCATGTGCAAATTTTGCAGCATGGTTATTAAGTTGGAAAAACCCACGTTCGATAAGATAAGATAACCTTTATTGTCATTTTTTACGGCACACATCAAAAATGAAATTTAGTTGCCCGCTCTCAAAGTGAAACACATACATGACACACACCTAAAACATACTATATACAACATATGTATAGACCCACACCCCTACATATACATAACAAATAAATATTAAACACTGTCCATCTTAAATATATAACGGAAGGAGGAAGCTTGAGAGTTCACAAGGTTAATGCTGTATGGAATGAAACTCTGGCTGAATCTGGATGTTCTGCTACGGATACCACGAAGCCCCCTCCTCCCAGAAGGTAACAAGGAAAACAGGTTGTGAAGAGGTTGTGTAGTGTCCCAGATAATCTTACTGACCCTGCTCAAGCAACGCTTCTGTGCCATGTCCTGGATGGGAGGGAGGGAACTGCCAATGATCTTTTCGGCCGTCCTCACCACTCTCTGCACCCCCTTCCTGTCTGAAGCAGGGATGCTTCCAAACCAGACTGTGATGCTGTATGACAGGATGCTCTCGATCGTCTCTATGTAGAAAGTGGTCAGGACAGGGGAAGGAAGATGTGCTTTTCTCATGCGACGCAGAAAATGCAGGCGCTGCTGTGCCCGCTTCACCAGTTTCTCACTGTTAAGCTTAAGGACTCCACGTGACTGCAACTTCCAAATTCCTGCTTCAAGGAACATCGCAAACCGTGATTGCACGACTGCAGGATGCTCTTCGCTGTCATTTCGAGCTAGGTGCCGAACGCCGAGGGCACAACCGTAAGTCAAGCAATATTGCACCGTCCCTAACTTAAGAGATCCAGTGTGTGCAGCGTTGTCAAAGGGCCGCTGAATAAGCGGTTGTTGAACGGGGACCATCTGTGTTTCCGTATTGCTGGAACTGCCTCACCCGTATAATTAAAAAAACCTGGGTACTTATATTATCTCTTCTTAGTTCCCTAAATCAAACGTTAAACCATTCTACCAGGCTTACTAATCAGAGTTCCTCAGGTCATTAGCAAATTATTTTTACTTCTAAAGAGAGAAATTCCTGCAGTGACACAGATTATCGTTTTTGTAACGCATGACTGAATTCTCTTGTTTTTAAAAAAGGCTCCCTTGTCATTTAAGGCTCATTTCATGGAGCTCAGAGAAAAATCCAGAGGAGTGCTGAGTCTCTAGCCAACTTGGAGTAATTCTCTCCACCCCAATGGCTGTTTGATGCATTTTGCAATTGGAAGACTTCCTCCATTTGTTCAGGTGTGAAATGCCTATTAAGAAATACTTTTGTGCTTTAATTAAAGGTGCTACGCATACTGTATATCCCGTTCAGATAACCAGGCAAAGATTTAATCAAAAAAAAAAAAAAAAAAATGGCCTCCTCGAGACAAAAAAGTGGCTGAAACTTTTAAAATCCTTTCTCGTTTTTTGTTTTTAAAAAAATTCCATCTGAACTGAACGAGGCAATGGAAAGGCCCAATCGGGAATTAAACAAGACACAGGTTTGTGGAAATTTTAAGTATATTTATTTTGTTTTTTATCATAAAAGGGAAAACACAAAACCGTGCGGTGGCAGCCCGTTTTTGCAGCCCGTGGTGCAGTGGCACCCCATTTTTGTGCCCCATGGCACGGCAGCGCCCTGTTTTTGCGCCCCCTGGCATGGTGGCCCGTTTTTGTGCTCCGTGGCAGGGTGGTGTCCATTTTTGCATTTTGCAGTGCAGTGGCGGCCCATTTTTGCACCCCGAGGTGCAGTGGCGGCCCGTTTTTGTGCCGTGGCACAGTGGTGTCCATTTTTGCACCTTGCAGTGCAGTGGCGGCCCATTTTTGCACCCCGGGACGCAGTGGCGGCCTGTTTTTGTGCCCCACTGCGCGGTGTCCTGTTTTTGCATCCCGCGGCCATGGCACTAGCGCAAGTGAGGGTGTGTGTGTGCACATACCACATTGGCCAGCCTGTCTCACGGCCCGGTGGCCAGTAGGCCACGGCCCACAGGTTGGGGACCCCTGGTTTAAGACACACAAAAGAGTAGGTTCAGAGAATGAAACAGGACGGCTTTTGCCCCCCCCCTTTTTTTTTTTTAATCATTTAAATCAGACTGATTTTCTTTCTTTTTCAAATAGCAAACTCAGGACTTTTAAGGTTTGGTCTCCACGTCACTGCAAGAAACCCAGGAGACGATAGGCGCACGTGTAGCCTATAAACCGGAATTATTTCTTGTAGGCCTAATTTCAGGAAATTATGATAAGAAATGTGTATACTTAATATTACATATGTTAACAGCAGCGAGAATTATATTTGCTCAATATTGGAAAAATGAAGAAATACCATTTTGGACTGTGCAGAAATGGATAGGCTCCCACTGAAAACGAAGGGGAAGCAGCATTCAGAGTACTTTCAAACATGGGAATTTGTTTTTATAAATGGTTAGAAATACAGAAGAAAGGATAGGAACGGAAATTGTATTGCTATTAATGTTAAACGCATGAACCCAAACAACCTGTTGCTTATTAAATACTAAAGACAGTTGCTATAAAAAAATTAATAAAATATACATAAAAAAAAAACCACAGGAGAATTTGCATTTTACCAAAATTACCTTCTCCGTCGGCTTGCCGTTGTAATAAAATAGTGCCGTATTTTCTCCCTATCGCTAGAGGGAGCTGAACCCTAAATCAAAATATTGCTGTACAGTTGCCTATGAAAAACTCCATTTTCCTTTGACAAAAGAAAGGAAATTAAATGTAAAAATAAAAGCAGATGTAAAATTCAGTCTAGATTTGAGGCAACAGCTTTTGCATACCCCAAAAAGCCCAGCACAATCTTGGCTAACACAAGATGCAACGGCAGCTATCAAACCATTATGCTAAACCCTCATATTATATATATATATATTTTCCGTAGAATGCAGCAAAATTAAGGTATTGTTGGCTGCAGCAGCTTCCCTAAAGAGAGATTTTGATGGCTTTTGCTGATCCCATAACCCCACTTTTAATTTTGAGTGCTTTTCTTCCATCCTTTCACTCCTGGCAGCAGTTTAGGGAGAAAAAGGGAGTACGGAAATTACTTCTTTCCTAGCTTTGTAATAATCCAGTCCTATTTGAATAACAACAGAGCGGAGTTTCAATGCAGTTTTAATTCATCATGGAAAATGCAGTTTTAATTCATCATCTCTGCATCATGGAAAAATTGTCTCGGGTAGCTAACAAATCTTAACTGGAGCAAATGTTCACGCTTATTTCATACAGCCAAGGATGTGTAACAGGCTGAATTTCACTTAACAAGGAATTTGTGGGAAAACATGTTACTCAGAAGCAATACTTTAGATTTTGAGATATATTGGTTTTTTGTTTTTGCATTTTGTTTTTTTTTACAAAATTGCCCTTAATTGGAGCAAATATTCACACTTATTTTATACAGCCAAGGATGTGTAAACAGGCTAAATTTCACTTAATAAGGAATTTGTTGGAAAACATGTTACTCTGAAGCAATACTTAAGATTTTGAGAGATGTTGTTTTTTTGGTTGTTTTTTTTTACAAAATTGCCCTTAATTGGAGCAAATGTTCACATTTATTTCATACAGCCAAAGATGTACAACAGGCTAAATTTCACTTGACAAAGGATTTGTTGGAAAGCTTACATTTCTCAGAAGCTACACTTAAGGTAGCTTATTTGGAGACATAAATTGATTTTTATTTTCATTTTTTTTTTTACAAAATTGCCCTTAACTGGAGCAAATGTGCACACTTTTTTTCATACAGCCAAGGATGTGTAACAGGCTGAATTTCACTTGACAAAAGGCGTTTGTGTGTCGGAAAACTTACATTGCTAAGAAGCGATACATAAAGTAGCTCATTCGGAGACGTAAGTTGATTTTTGTTTTGTTTTGTTTTACAAAATTGCCCTTCTTTACGGTATTTAGAGGCGTCTTCTAAGTTACAGCTTTTCATTTATGTAGCGCATCAAATATTAACACTAGGCTTCTGTTTTATTTATGTCTGCAGCAGGTATGAGTATGTTCCTTTGTTTTTGAAAATACTCAAGGTTGTAATTCGTCAGTTGGAGACTCTGGGATGTATTTTCGCATCTAGTCTGCCATCTAGAATCGGTTCCTTTCGTTCCCTTTTCACACAACACCCGGGATACAAGCAAGCCACCAATTAACAAGGCAAGATAAGCCTGCAAGCAGACTGACATCCCTAGAAGTGATAAGGCTATGCAGAACAGCCCAGGAGAGGTTCACAAATCCGTTGAGGGTGTGTGTAGCTCCTGATGGACCCAATG